CAGGGGAGCATCACCTCAGGGGAGGAAGGGTCTGCAAGTTACTGCTGCCTGCCTGGCCCTTGGCTTTTCCTCCCAGTTCTCCCACACACGGATTGCCGAGGAGCAATCCTGCTTTGCTTAGCAAATCACAGTTCCCATGTGCCCTGTACTCCCACACACAGACCCACCGTGAACTTACAGAACGAGACAACACTGCTGCTCTAAAATCTTTTACCCAGAGCTGACACTGCCCGACTGCTAACCCTGTTCAGCTCCAAGTAATCCCAGCACTTTGCTTGGCTAGAGGTTGGCTGTACTGGGAATAAATGCCCTTGCTCTCATTGACAAGAGGTAACATCCAAAGAAAACCATTTCCTTTTGCAATGCAGCATTATTCATAGACCAGCACCACATAAAGTTGCCAGGACGCTGGCAGTCTGCTAAAATCCACAACATGGGCAGGAGAAGTGGCAGTGTAAGCACCACTGGACGAGCTCAAATCTCAGCAGAAGTTAAGCTGAACCTGCTCCAGCTGACAAAACCCAAGCCTACAAGAACTAAGTGTCAGCACACAGGCTGGAAAATACAATTTTTTTTTGCTTCTGCCTGGAAACGAAAATATGCCCTAGTGATCTTCACTTAAACATGTCTGTGTCCTTTTGTCCTTCGTCTTACATTGATCAGTGTCGGGGGTTTTGGAAGGCATAAAAAATCCTATGCTAGAGCATGTGAGAGGTTCAACCCTGAAGATTTAAATATCTTTCAAGTGGACTGCCCTGTCTAGTGATGAACAACCTACTATCCATCACAATTTCTACTCTTCCTGAATCCTACACTCAGCACCAGCAGCATCTTGTAGCACAGAGTTCCTTATGTCACAATGCACAGCATGGGAAAATACTTTTATCATCAAATTGCTACCTTTCATGTTTTCCTGAATGCAGTCCAGTTCCTCTACTGAGAAAAGCCCTGTAAAGAAGCATTCATTCTCCCTCTTCTGTGTTGTTGATTGCTTTGTTTTTCACCCCAATGTCCCTCCTCATGTGTCTTCCTGAGCTAACTAACCCCGTCTTAAGGAATCTCTCTGTGTGAGCCAGGGATTAGTGGGATTACCTGATCAAGTATGGATGAACAGCAAACAAAATCTAAAGGTCCCTTTGCTGGAGCTGTGGATCCCATTTCTGTGTCTCAGACCCGGGAAGCTGTGTCTCATGAGGAAACTCAGATCACGTTTTATAAATTCCAGGAACTTGCAGAGTGCAGTGTTTTCATCTCAGGCAGAAAGATGTCAGACAGCCCCCCGCACTGTGTGGTGGAGGAGGCCAACAAGGTAGCTGATCAAACTCTTGGGAACATTGGCAAAGTAGATAAATTTGAGTTTTAAGGAAAGGATTTTGGGAGCACTAATGCCACATGACAGCAAGCTAGAACAAACTTCAAACGCTTAATTATGAGCCTGCACAGCCTAAAACAGCATGAAAGGTTAAAGGACCAAATTTTCATAAGTGTGCTGACCACAGGTTGAGGAGTGGTTTGGAGATGTACCCCAGCCTGGAGGAATCAGTGGGGTCTGACCAGTGTCCCTTTCGAAGAACTGGTCTTAGGCAGTCATGCGTGCACTGGAGATAAGGGTGCTGACAGCCCCAGGTCTCGTCCATGCCCTGTATTTATTAGTCTTTTGTGGTACTGGTAGGTTTTAAATGGCAGTCCTGTTAGGCTGAGCTGCTTCGCAGCAAGTGCTTCCCAGAGATGCAGGGGCCTCTCGCCTGTGAGACAGATGATCTGGGGCTGTCTCAGCTCTGACGCGATGAGCTGCCGTGTCTCCCTTGTAAAGAGGGGGTAGTCATCCTGACAAACAGCTCTGTATGTGGGCAGGGAGTGCTCTTAATCACACATGCAGAGTGCTTGGAGATCTTGGGATGGGAAGCGGTGCAGAAAAGCGTAATGCTTATTATTAGGTAGAAAGGCCAGGAGCAAAAAGGGCAGAGTGATTTTAGACTCCTCCAGGGCCCTGGAGGTGTGTGGGACCCAGATTCCAGTCTGGCTTATTACCTCCTTTTTAGGTTTCTTCTTTTATTAGGAACAATTAGATACAAGGAGGAAAGGGACAGATATCATCTTTCCTGTGTACATCCTGCAGAATAATTGCAGAGCTTTCTCAGAGCAATTTTGCATGCTCAGTAAAGGGCATCTTTGAAGCCTATCAAATATCTCATCCCTTGTAGGCATACATATGAAGGGTTGCAACACACGTCTTTATTGCTCCCAAGTATTGTGAACAGGAAAGACCATCAAAAGTGCTCAAGATGAGGAATAAGAGGCCTTGGAAGTAGTTCCAGGAGGTGGATGGAGTCGTGGGGTGGCTTCTTATGTTTGGAGGTGGAACTTTGCCTCCTGAGGCACTGGAGGAAAGCAGGAGGTGACTGTGCACCAGCACCCTGGGAGAGAGGGGCACTGAGAAACACAGGGATGTGTAGAGCACTGCCATTGGCAGGTGATTACCGTGGTGAGGAGGGTAGGAAAGCCATGCAGGGGTACAGCTGGAGACAATCCAATGCAGGCTCCTGCCAGCAAGCTGCCTCCTAGGTACAACTTTGGTCTCGGACACTAAGGACATCTCCTGGCCTGCTGCTGAAGCAGGGGAAAGTTTCCTGCCAAAAAGCACCTTTACCAGTGCTTCATAGGCAAGAAGAAAGGAAAACACAGCCTTGAGCTGTCCAGTACAACCTTGCACACTCTGCAGGGAAGAGGTCATTAGAGAACACAGGCACTGGGCACCAAAATATTCCGAAGCCATGGAAAGAATATGAATTTAAGGGCTGTATATTGTGGAAGTGTTTTCTCTCTTGCGTACATTTAGCTGCTGTATAGCTCTGTACAGCTCCCTAGGCAACAGTCTTCCCAGATGACACTGTAACAAAGCCCAAAGGTGCGGGAGCTCCCCTCATTAAAACCCTTGTCGTGGGAGCAAGTGTCCTCAGCCCAACTGCTTTGTTTTCTATCCCATGGCTGTTCAAGTGTCTTGCAAGCCAGGCTGAGGCCCTTTGTTGCAAAGGTGGCTGCATCTCAGCTGTGCTCTGTGTCAGCTGGTTGAATTGTTTTGGGATTGCAAGGTTGCCTAGATGATTTCACTATTATTATAATTATTATTACTATTATTGTCATTACTGCTATTATTGTTATTGCATTCAAAATGCCAAAGAAGAGCTTTACCTTGGTCTCACCAGATTTCTGAAACACCCAATATGATGTGTTAGCTGCACATCTACCTCTGTACCTTAACTGCTCTGCGGAGCCTTAATTCAATGCAGAGTGAAGTGCCCTGAAAGCAACACCAAAGTCACTCCTGGGAGTGACGACGGGAGGGAGGGCAGGAATCACAGTCACGGAGCTCCTGGCCTCACACCGGGCAGGCACAGCATGCACTCAGCTACCGGCGCTGTATCCCTGCTGTGCCTGCCAACAGAGAGATTCCAGGAAACCATGGAGCAGGCACCAAGCAAAGGTGATGGAGCCCCCACATCCTGCTCCAGGACACGGAGAAAAGGGGATTGGCAGCGTGCACAGCTGCAAACAGATGTGACACAGACTGTGATACAGCTCTGCCAGTGGCCTCCTCCTGCCCTGTAACCCTCTCTATTTCCCGAGACAGAGGTCCCCATAATCTCCTACTGAGGAATCACTTTTTAGAATATTGATGGCCTCCCTTCTGTGAGGTTCCTATCCTGCTGTCTCTGTGCACCTATCTCCCAGCTTGTGGAAGTGCTCTATGGCCCCTGTTCCTAGTCTGTCTGAGGCTAGTGAGGACAATGCCTGGTACTTCTGCTGGCTGTCCAGAGGTACAAGGTGTGAACCTTGCCACCCATTTTTCCCTTTTTGCACCTGATGAGATTTAATCCCAAGCAGAAATGGGTGATCAGACTCACGTGGGAAATGGCTGTACCTTGCTGCACTCTCTGCATATGTGCTTTGCACAAGGAAGCCTCCTCTGGGTCCGAAAAATGAGCTGGAAGCACCTGCAGTGGCTGCATCGCTCACTCTCCCCCACTCACTTGCTGAGCTGTGTGGACTTCAAGTTATCGGACAGGTATTTATAGCTTGTCATTATTGCTCTGCTATGGTGATGCTTGGTGCTGCCCTGCTGATTCCAACACCCCATCTCTCCAGCTGCACAGAAATTGCCCCTTGGCAGCTTTCCTTAAGGAGTTACTGAGGAACTGGCTGCTTCTCTCCAGATTTGCAGCACCTTGAGGGGTTTCTCTCTGTCATGCATTAGCTGCTGAGCCTCTCCCTCTTCTTCCCTGGCCCGAGGCTGGATGGGTCAGTGGCTGGAGCGGGAGGCCAAAAAAAACCTACTTTCCAACTCGCCTAGCAAGATCCACCCCAAGCTGCTCCAGAAAATCAGCAGCAGCATCCCTCGGCAGACGCCCGTGTCTGAGGCAGGAGCAGAACCGGGCAGAACTCTTCCCCAAACCTCCTACTCTTGCCCTCTCCCAACCCACGTTTCCAGAGCCTCTCTCTGGGACGCCCGCCTGGGGTCGGTTCCCAGCGAGGCTACCTGTGCCTGTACACAAACCCCCTTGTCGCCCTTCTGTAGTTTGGCTTCTCCGGTGTTTGTCACCAAGAGGCGCAATAAAAGCTCTCCGGGAGCAGCGGCGTGCCCGGGACCGGCGTTTGGGTACCCTTGCTCGGAGATGCCGGCGGCGAGATTCCCGGGTGGACACACACCAGGAATGAAGGCATCTCCCCACAGCTGGAAAATTCCAGCCTGGGATTGGGATGTCGCTCCCCTGGAAGGTGTCCGGACCAACGTGCGGGGGGATGCAAGGACAGGCGCTCCCCGTCAAGCGCGGAACCGGTTCTGGCGCTGAGCAGGGATGAAGTTCGGGTATACAGCTGCCGGTCGCGGGGCACGGCACCCCTCCAGCGCCAAGCGCCGGGGGACCGCAAGGTCACCGCTGCATCCCCGGCGCCGCTCCCACCCCCAAAGCCCCGCTGCCCGAGCGGGGTCTCCCGCTTACCTGGCGAGAAGGGCCGGTCACGGCGGAGACGCCGGGGCGCCGGGCGCGGGGCGGCAGCGCGCCGGGGGCTGCCGGGGGAGCATGGCCCGCCGCCGGGCGGCGGCGGGTCCTGCCTGCGCCCTGGGAGCGGCACCGGCACCGGGAGCGGCACCGGCACCGGCACCGGGACCGGCCCGTCGGCGCTGCCGGCGGATGGCGGCGCCCGCCTTCAGACGGCGCCGGCGATGCGGCTACGCGCGGCGCGGAGCCGATTTAAGGCCACCCCGTGCCGGGGGTGGGGGAGCGCCGAGGGCCGCCCGCAGCGGCTCCTGCGCGCCGCGCATCCCGCGGGGCCACCTTAAGCGGGGAAGGGGCGAGCGCGGAGCCAGCGAGGGGGGAAGGAGCGGCGAGGAGGCGACCCGGGAAAAGGGGAACGGCAGCGGGGCCGGGCACGGCCGCAGCGCTGCCCCCGCAGCCGGGCCGGCCGCCCTCCAAGGGGGAGGGTGCCCTGCCCCGGCCGGCCGCTGCTCTTCCCGCCGGAGGCGAGGGGAGGGATTTTTCTGCCAGTGCCGAGGATCTCGTCTTTGCTTCTGACCGGTACTGGGGTGATTTCCCGCTCCGGCTGCTTCAGGAAAGAGCCACCTGCGATGGCTACAGCCCGTGCGGGTTGGCTGGCTGTAAGGCAACCTGGGAGTCACAGCCCGAGCCCAGCGGCCGCAGTGCTTCTGGAATTTGGTGCCCCAGTTGCAGCTTGATGCGCGCATCGCTACTGCGTGCCTCAGTTTCCCTGATGTGGGATGATGGTGATATCGGTACAACCACTTCCCACTGCGGCAGCAGCTGGGCCATTCCTTGCTCTGGCCACATGAACAGCCACAGCCAATGCGTCGTCTGGGCCTCTGCCTCGGAACAGGTTAAATGGGACTAGGAGACCAGCCCGATTCAGTTTTCCCCTACCTACCTCCCTTAGGAGCTGCGTCTCGGCCATAATAAAGTCACCATGCTGCTTGAAGGGGGGTGTGACAAGCAGCTCTTCCTTCGGGCTCCCAGCTGGGGCTGGATGCACAGAGGGCAGAAGTGAGGGCTGTCACACCTCAGCCCTGCTGTAGGAGACTTCTCCTTGCACTGGGCTGCACAGCACACACCTATCCCTCCCTTACCCTTCCGAGGGTTGTGACTACTATATTCCAGGAGTTTCTCCCGAAGAGGTTTCAGCTCTCAGCAAACCTCGAGGTACACAAAGTAGCACAGTCCCAGGCTCAGGTGGGGACCTGTTGATGATGTTAGCTTCAGGTAACAAAGATCTTGCCTTGGGATGCAGTAAGCAGGGAAAAATGTTTTGAGATCCTTAGCTGGCAAGTGCTCTTGGAGAAGAAGAGAAGTCTGTCTGCTCAGGATAGCTGGCAGGTCTTGGCCACATTTCTTTCTAGAGCAGACATTTCTGAAAACACCTTGGAAAGAAAGATATCAAGTGACATTTTACAGCCCAAATGACATTTACAAAGTGGAACACAGATGCGAACCCAACACAGGCAAAGCAGCAGGCCAGTGCCAGTGCCTTTGCTCACCTGCTTCTCCCTTTGTCAAGGGGACATTCCAAGCCGTTGAGTTCAGTACCCACAAGGACTATGGCCATGCTCACCACCACTGTGCTTATGGCTGTGCAGACCCACTGGCTGTGTCCAGCTAGAGCAGGGAATGAAAGGCTGCTCTTATTCTGCCCTGGCATCCTAGGCTGCCCTTAATGGTAGGAAGGAAGCCATCCATCCATCCATCCATCCATCCATCCATCCATCCATCCAGCCATCCATCCTCAGTGTTGGAGCCATGAAGTCCCCATGTTGCATGGTCAGACCAGAAGGGTTCTCTGTGCTTGTGGATGAAAGCCAGCGTGTGGGTGTCAGGAAATGGCGAGATGCTTCCCCACAGATGGCTCAGCAGAAGCCTGAATTCCTCTTGCACTACTGGCAGAAGCATTTTCCTGCTCCAGGAATGAGTTAGCTGGGTTGTTCCAGCTCTGCAGCACCTTGATTTTAGGAAAATCCGTACCAAACAAATTGATTGCCTATGCCTGCGAGGCATTGAATCTTTCAGAATTCCCTGGGATAAGGCAGAGACTTTATCCTCCTGTGGCTGGGGGAAGAACTTGAGGAGGAGCTAATTGACTGATAATTAACCACAGGCATCTTGGGTGGTTAGTGAGCCGCAGGCAATCCTTGGGTGAACACCCTAACCCTGGCACCTCTCTAGGAGAGATTGGTTAAGGACTTTGACTTCTGGGATTCTCTCTGGAGTGGAAAAGCATGAGAAAGAGATCAGGTCCAAGGCTGCTGGAAACTCTGGAAGCCCAAACCACTCAGGCTTTGCTTACTCATGCTCCAGGCTCGCCCTTTTTATGTCCACAACCTTTGACATGACTGTTTCACTGCCACACACAGAACCACAGTTTAATCAGTCTGTCCTATGGTTGGGCTGGGGGTGCTGAGAGTCAGCAATGCAGGAAGATGCTTCTCCTCATGCCACAGTCAGAGCTGGCTTCTGGCAAAAGCTGCACACTTCTGCAATGAGATTCAGTCCTGGGGCAAGTGGGTCTGTGCAGAGATATTTTTCTCGGATAAAGCATCCACGGTGGATATATTGGAGGGGACAGTGGAGTATCCCGTGTGCTACAGTCCTCTTTATCCCTCCTGAAGGCAGTGGCTGGGGCAGTCTGTGTTCCTAGCCACATGGCAGTGGAGTCACTGCCCTGGTAAGACCTTCCTCCTTCCACTGCCACCACAGCTCTGTCCAGCACAGCCACATGCTGCAATCCACACTGCAGTGCTCTGGATGGCAGCTCTTCCCTGGCATGCTGTACTTTCCTGGGCCATCTGCCCCTGTCTCTGCCCACACTTCCTCCACTGAAAGTACAAGATGAAACTCTGTGAAACCTCCATCCTGAGGCTGCCACTAAGCTAAGCTGCTTCCCAAGTGATAAGTGCTTCGAGATCCTGGGAGAGATGCTGTTGGAGAGGGTAGCTTACAGGTGCAATCTGTGTGCAATTTATTCCTGCAATTTGCTTTTCTTGCTTTTTCACTGCCATGCTCTAAAGGGCCTGATGCTGTGTCAGCCTTGAGGCAGACCCACAGACCACATCCCTGAATCTTGCAGCAGTAAGCCACAGCAGAGGAAGCATTGTGGAAAATGTTCACTGACTTGTGCTGCAAAGGAGGAAGCGGTGCTGCAGCGCTGTGAGCCTCCCGAGCTCTTACTCCATCTGGGCTGAGTGGCTGCAGCTGCTCCCCTCTCTCCCGACCCCCCTCTCCTGTTGCAGCTCTCAGAAGCAATGCATGGTACATTCTGAGGCACCTTATAGGATTGGGGGAGCGAGTTGTTCACACTTCCCACCCTCCTTTTGACAGGGGATTTGGCTACAGGGCAGCAGGGACCTTGCTGGTGTCCTCTGCTGTGGGAATGTGTGTGGTGCTGTGCTTTTGGGACCATCTGTTTGCAGCTGTGCTGAGAACTTGCCTCTTCAGTGCCCTCAAGGCAGGGGAGAAGCAAAGAGAGCCGTTGCTGATTCCCTGCTGGCATGGTGTGCTTCACAAACAAAAGGTAAGGAAATGTTGGCAGCAGCCCTGGAGGACAGCACACAGGGGATGTGGATTTGGGAGGGAAACCTACTGAAACGGTCAGTCAAGAGTCATGCCCGCACCTGACATGGCCTGTGAAGCATTGCTAGGTAGTGGCATCACACCGTCTCTGTGAATACAAGTCTCAAAACATTGCAAACACGTGTAAATACAAATCTCAAAACATTGCAGACTAAAGTGAGTAAAACCTTCCCTCTGAATTGGGAAGGTAGCACTCTTTCTGCTGAGAGGGAGGATGAGCCCTGGAGAAGTTACTCCCTCAAAGTCACCCCTGAAATCCATATCTGAGGGATGCAATGAGACACCAGAGGTCTTGCCTGCCAAGCCCCTCCCTGATCAGGCTGCATACAGCCCAATGGTATTTTCAGAGAGCTTGCTGAGCTATCTTCTGCCTAGTCCATACCTCTGCCCCAGGACAGCCTCCTTCCCAGCTCCTTTCATTCCCAACTTTCTGGATGTGGTTAAAGAGTGATGGCAGGGGATGAGGAGGGGTGTCAGATGCATCTCTTCCAAGGTCCAAAGCTGCAGCAGGGCCTCTCTCCTCATTGTAAATCTGCCTGAGAATATGCGTGGCAGAACAAGCAGTCCTTGATCTAAAATCTGCCATCCTTTGAAGAACCTGTGCTTCAGCGAAGCAGCCAGCAGTTGCTGCCTGAAGAAGGCTGAAAAGCCACTCTGCAAAGCTCTGCAGTTTCATTTCTCTCCCCCTTGAAGCACCAGAGCTGTACACTAATCAAGCTATTTCTGCTACAAGCTTGGGAGGAAAGAAAGAGAGATTGTTAGTGTTAATGCTATTTTTAAATACTTTGCAGACTCTTGAATAGGATGATGATGGGGGCCGGGTAAGGACCCAGACAGAGACAGATTGATGTGTGGTAAACACATCTGCTATTCTGCAATTGGGAGGCAGCTCTTTCGGCAGCACCACTCCAAAGGTGCAGCAAAGAGCCGCTCTGAGGGCTCTGCTCACAGCCTCTGACAGGGCTTTGCCTTGGTGCTTCCAGTTCTCTCTGCTCCTTCCTTGGCTGCCTGCAAGGCAGTGTTACTGCAGAAGGGCTTAGAGCCTGCAATCCCCCAGGAATCAGCTTCCAGTTGCACGGCACGTGTAAGGGTTGCAGCATGCAGGCCAGAGCCCTCACACACCTTCTGTGTGTGGGCAGCAATTGCCTGCTTCTGCATGTACCTTGCACCCTGGGGATGGGGCCTGTCCATGAAAGGCGGGAGAGAGCCCGAGTGACTGTCTTCCCTCAGATCCTCCTGCCCACCAGCTAAAGAAATGCAGAACAAAAGAAAGTCTCAGGCTTTGGTCTCATCCCTGCAGGAGACAATGTTCCCATGTGATAGGGAGAGAACAGGATGGGAGCAGGGAGGTGAGAAGGAGGGTTGTACTGATGGAGAAGTTTAAAGAAACCCTGAACTATTGAGCTGTTTTGATAGGGCTTCTGAGTGTACTCCAAAGATGGCACTTCAGCATTCTGCCCCTCTGGAAAAGTTTTGCAAAGGGAAGATATGATTTACCTTTTGATTGATTTATGACCCGTTCTTTAGTGTCAAGCAGAGAGCTTTCTCCTAAGGGTTGATCTCTGTAGAATGGCTTAAAAAAGGAAGATGCTCTCTGTTAAACTGTCAGCTTTAA